GTGTTTTATGTGCTGCAGAACAGGAACCTGCTGTAAAACAGCAGTTATGCTGAGTCAGGCTTGATTTTTAGTAATCTTTTCCTGTTAAATCAATAAATCAAATCAAATCATTTATGGACATAGAGTATGTCTGTGTTTTATCTATAAAAATGAATGTTTAATTATAAAGAAAAGCCAGGCAGGTGATTATCCCCCCTCTGGTGGTGAAACAGGTCATTTCATGAATCCCAACCACTGAGAAAACTCCGTCCCTTCATTTGCATATTGGACCATGAAATAAAATGCCATGAAATAGTAAAACTGCATGAAAGAAAAAGGGAGTTCAAAATAAAAGTCCCTGAAATATGTAAAGTAGCTTTACAAAATAAAAGTGCCACAAAATCAAACTACAATATGTAACAAATAAATAAATTTAAATATAAATAAATAAATAAATAAATTTTTGTTCGATTAAAAATAAATAAATAAATAAATAAATATGGTAATTTTTCGTTAGATAAAAATAAATAAATATAAAGCCTTGCTAAAAATGTTTTGTAATGATTTTGTTTTATTTCACAGGAACATTTATTTATTTAAAGGAATATTAATTAATTAATAATTAATTCTGCATTAACGGGCTCTCCGTATACCCCTGCCATGTGGAAAGCGCTCTTGTAAATTGAAGTGAAATCTACAATCACTGTATTGCTTGTTCGTTGCAGTGTTTCTGCTTTTTCTTCTTCATGAGCACATTTACTGCAGTATGATCACACTGTATGACGGACTTCCTGTTGGTTATTTTTGAACAATGGCCTTCCAGGAGTTCTCTAAAGAAGTTGAGGGAAAGTCCAGTCTGAAGAGCTCAGTGGTGTCTGAGGGCAATCAGCTGCTGAGACTGAAGAAAGGCGACACACTGGTGCTACGCTCTGAGCTGACACGCATCGACAGTCAGTGGGCCGAGCTGCTCACACGCATCCCAGTGGTTCAGGAGAAACTGCATCAGGTAACGTCACAAGCAGAGAAACTGAACCAGATCAACTGCTTCAGATCCAGCAGGATTAAATGTGTCCACATTTTATACAATGGTTTCACTTTAACAACATTTACTCTTTTCCTCCTCATTTTTTATCACTTTCATTCAACACAAACAGGCAAAACTGTGTGTGTGTGTGTGTGTGTGTGTGTGTGTGTGTGTGTGTGTGTGTGTGTGTGTGTGTGTGTGTGTGTG